CTGTGTTTGGCATTGGTACAAAAGGTTTGTAGTATAACATTGCTAGAACTCTCTAGATGTAATAGATTTTTCTATTAACTGTTCCCGGCCAACTTCTCTTCCTCCTCAAATCTATAAGACTGAAACAAAGAATATTAGTGGTGCTGTCATTTTCACTCCGCTTGTGTGTGTGTATCTGTGTAAGCATATAGTACTGGAGAGCTACGAGATTCTGTCCCTGAGGGTAAAAATATGTGCATACAAGAATATGTAAATGTTCTGTAAACATTGAGATTCTCTCAGATTTTTTTTAAAAATCGCCTTTGATTTCTTTATGTATTGTTCCTGAAATTTACAATGAGACAGTTCCTAGTAATCATGAGAGGTGTGTATGAGAGATTGTCATTTCATAGTTTGAGGAAAGGGTCTTCAGAAGCAACCCTTCTTGACTATTTATGTTGATGCCCTGTGCCTTCATTTTTCATGATAGCAGAGGAGCCCATGAATGTGGGATCCTGAAAGCCCTAGTAGTTCTTTGAAAAAATCATACACCAACCTTTGTATCCATATCTCCAGATTAGGGAGCTTGACCTCAAGGTAACAAATACCAAACACATACCTACAAGTTCTCTCCCATTTGGGTCCTCCTCCAGTGGAAGAACCACTCTGGGTTGGAGGAAGGCTTTAAACTTTGCTAAGAGGAATATTTGGATAAGGGTAGCATCCACCCTGTTATTTCCAGTTCGAGGTTCCTAATTTGGAATCTCTAGCTTGAATCCAAATGCAACTCTATGGCTGCGTTCACACGGGCAATTTGATCTGTTCCCTTTGCTGTTCCGTTATGGATTTAAAGTGCATGACCAGACAGCAACATCTGTCTGTCGTGCCCCAGTCATCTGAGTTTCATTCCGCCCTCCCATTGCCCCGTGGTTTTTTGATACCTGATAAAGTTCGGTCCTGTTAGTCTGAGCCGCTTCAAAAATGGATTACCTGTTGTCTAGTCACTCGGTTGTGCAGCCAAGCCATCAGGCAGGTCTCACTGAACTCTTGCTTTCCGGCTGCCAACACACACACACACACACGTTAGCGAGGATCGCATGACTGTATATATGTACCAGTTTGGTGTAGTGGTTAAGTGTGCGGACTCTAATCTGGGAGAACCGGGTTTGATTCCCCACTCCTCCACTTGCACCTGCTGATGTGACCTTGGGTCAGTCACAAGCTCTGGCACAGCTGTCCTTGAAAAAGAGCAGTTTGTGTCAGAGTTCTCTCAGCCCCACCCACCTCACAGGGTGTCTGTTGTGGGGAGGGGAAGGGAAAGGAGTTTGTAAGCCGCTCTGAGACACCTTTGGGTAGTGAAGGGCGGGGTATAAATCCAATCTCTTCTTCTCTTCTTCTACCTCTCTCCCCCAGGGTGGGGGGCTGCTAAAAACCTTGTTTTCTTGTGAAAAACTCTCAAAGAAAGACACCACTGTTTTGCAGCTTTTTAATGTCATTTGGGGAAGGGGTAAATGGAAAAGATTAGAGGGAGGATGGCAGTGGACTCCATTTCCCAGCAGTCTCTTCACCACTTGTGCAATTACTCTGGACTTAATTTAAAAAGAAAATGGTTGACAGCCCCATGAACTCCATATCCCAGCATGCTGAGTGCTTCTGGGCATGCTCCTAAGGGCAAACTTCTTTAAAAAATGGCTGACGGGCTGATTCCCTGGTTTCTGCCGTCTGGTCATGCAAGGAGGGGTAAAACGGCATTGAAGTGTGCTAAAACGGGTGAGTCTGGTCAGGATTCTCTGCCACAAAATAACCTGGTTTAATTTGAGGTGGGGCAACAGTGGATTAAACTGCCCGTCTGATCGGACTCTCTATGAGTCGAAGGTAGAAGGATCATAAAACATGTTTTCTTTTAATCAAAATCACCCTTTGCCCTCTTTCTCACCCCTGCCCTGGTTAAGTTGCTGTGGAGGGTCTTTCTCCCCTTCATGATATATGTTGGATTCTAGCTGGAGAGGAGAATCTGAGCCCCACACTGTGAGACTGAAAACTTTGTTTCTATTTGTAACTGAAGGTAAGCTGTGTTAGCCATATTGTGGCTGACTCCGCCTCCTGCAGCAGCCATTTTGTGCCTGTGCCCAGCATGCAGTGTCAGAATAATGAAGGTGCCTGTAGGCTCAAAAAGGTTGGGAACCTCTGCACTTAGGCATGTTTTAAAAAAACTTATTTTATTGAATTCACTCAGGCACGTTTTATGTTCCTTGCATATGCTGATTAACTCCTCCTTTCAGTTGGGCCTCTGTGATTCTGGATCCTGTTCCTTAGTCAGTTCAATAACAAGTTATTAACTACTACAGCAGATAATACCTGTAATGACCAGTATGAAAAGGGGAGCTTTATTATGCAGTGCCTGCCAGTGAAAACTCTGAAGGCTGAAAGAGGAAGAGACAACAAGGAGCAAACCAAAGCAACGCAGTATCTGTTTATTCAAACCAGTTATATTGTAAACACAAAACCATGGGGGTGTCCTTCAGAACTCTTCACATTCATAATTTATAGTGTGTGTTCTCATCAACTGGTTAGATGGTTATTATTATTATTTTAAAACAACTTTATAAAATTATAAAAATCAGTCAAACATCAGACAAGAATAGGAGGGCGTCTGCATACAACCAGATTTTTTTTGGGGGGGGGGCACTCATCCTACACATACTGTACCAGCTCACAGACCATGGCCAGCTGGCTATACTCATCCTGTGTGTGGAAACAGGGTCACATGGACTGGCAAGCTGTGAAATAGAATTTCTTAGCCCTACCATGTGGTCAGTTGTGTACCTTAGGTATTTGAACCAAGTAACTTGTCACAAAATGTGCATTTGCTGTAAACATATAGCTACTGCTACAGCTGTTATTAAAAACTATGTTTCACCAGCATATATGTAACATCTCTATATAGCACTTTATAAATGTTTTATAATTTTAACCTGTTTTTAATTTGTTTTTAACTTTTAATGTAAACCGCTGTGAGCCTGCCTTGGCAGGGAAGGCGGGTATGCCAAATTGGGTTGGTTGGCATACCAAACTAGGAAAGAGATAAAGTTCAGATAGGCCTAAACCTAACTTTTGATCATAATTTTCACTTTATTCTTTCTGTATTTCTGTATTTTAAAGTTTTTAGATCCTTATTTATAATTTTAGATGCCATTATATTTTATAATTTTACTGCTCTCTTAACTGTACTTACTTGTCTTCTACTATACTGGTCTATGACCGTAATAAACTTGATTGTATACATCTAATAAAATAAATTTAAAAATCTTAAGAAAATTAGTTAAAGGTAAAGGTTCCCTTGCTCGAAAGCCAGTCGAATCCGACTTTAGGGTTGTGGTGCTCATCTCCGTTTCAAAGCCGAAGAGCCAGCGCTGTCAGAAGACATTTCCGTGGTCATGTGGCCGGCATGACTAAACACCAAGGCACATGGAATGCTGTTACCTTCCCACTGAAGTGGAACCTATTTATCTACTTGCAATTTCTTGCTTTCAAAGTGCTAGGTTGGCAGGAGCTGGAACTAGAGACAGGAGCTCACTCTGTCATGCGGCACACTCGGGTCCCAACTTTTTCACCTAGAAGATTATTCTGTTTCATGATGAAAACCAAGAATTAGAAAAATAATACACTTCTAGATGTGCTTGGAAAGGACAATCTTTATATAAGTTGCCCATTAATTAATTTGAAGAAAGGGAACCCTTATGTAGTTGAATCTCATATTCTTCTTAGGCATTGTTCTGCAAAAAGCACTCACCGGGTTGCCAGTGGTGAGGATGTTTTCCTCCTTGTGATTGCTCTTAAAGGCAAGGAGTTTGCAACACTGTGCCTTTTACAGTGTCATAGTTCTAGGCCTGCCGCCAATTTTACTTTCGTTTTCAACCCCATGCTGTTATATACCTCAGAGCAACTTTAGTCGTCTTGGGGGCCTTTCTGCTTCCCTTCCTTTTCAGTCAAAAAGAGGGTGAGAGAAAGTACAGTACCACTATGAAAAGCACTCCATTTTACAACTCCTTTTGTTCTCTCTAGGAGACGAGAGTATTTTTTTTAAAAAAAAAACTGAAAACAGGTTTGCTGCTGATTCTTAGTACAAAGCTTTTTCCAATCCATTGGCCAAGTGTTTTAAATGATAGTCTTATCATATGCATGTTTATTCAGAATTATGCCCCTCTGGGTTTAGTTAGGTATATTTCTAAGTCACTGTACACAGAGTTGAGGCCTTGAGTGTATTAATCTGTCCTATGTTGAGTCAGGCCATTGGCTGAGCTATCTCAGCGTTTTCTGCACTAAATGTGACTGGACTTCTGGGTCTTATCTACAGATTTTCCCCTTCTGTGCTACCAGAGATACTACTCCCTAAAGATGGCAGCCAGCCACCGAACATGAGAGCCTTTTGCATACAAAGCGTGTATTCTACTGTTAGGCTATCATTCCTCCTGACCCATCTAAAACAATAGAATATTCTGTAAACACTTGCTTAGTCTTTAAAGGTTCCACAGAAATCCTTATTCTTGGGAAAACTGGCCAGTTGTTCTCTAATTCTTATAATGAGCTCAGATAGTATGCAGCATATACATATCAGGGTATAAACAAAACCCCAGATGTAGAGAAGTTACGGATTGACCCAAATTTCTTCCTAGTAATTATATTTTATACTCGACAAAGGTAAAAATAAAATGAAAGAGCAAACCAATCAATGTTACAACATTAACCACAGCTTAAAAGTAAAAAACATTTCATGTATTTATTTAGATACATTTGGATGTTTAAAGAATGCTTTCCTTTTGTTAATACAGTATAACATTTCATTAGGCTAGGAATTACCTTATTTTTGCGTGAAACTGTGTGTGTGTGGGGGGGGGTTGTACTTCAAGGGGCTAGTAGAAAATAAGTTAGCTACTAGACCCGGCTACAACTTGTGGAAGCCTGCTATTATGTGGTCCTCTTGGATAAAACCCTTGTTTTTCTTCTGTCTCCCTCTTCAGGTTTCCTATGCGCGACCAAGCTCAGCTTCCATTAGAGATGCTAATCTGTATGTCAGTGGTCTCCCAAAAACTATGACCCAGAAAGAACTAGAACAGCTATTCTCTCAGTATGGACGTATTATTACTTCCCGTATTCTTGTTGACCAAGTCACCGGTAAGTTGACAGGTGCTCTGCCCTGTCTCTCTCACTTTTTCAGTCTGGTAGGTTGTGAAATATTCCACCTTCCAATACAGCAGTCTTGCCTCCAGAACATATCAAAGGTATATGTGGCCCAGAAAATACAATTTTCTGCCGGAATTGTTCATAAATATGCATGGACGAAAATAGATTGTGCAGTGTAGTCAGTCAGCCTGAGTCATTTCCACCTTCAAGGTGCGGGTTTGAAGCCTGTTTCATGCCTTGTAATAAATTTACGGCTGCTATAATCTTCATTTCCAAGATATGGAGTGAAAATAGTTCCTGTGCTCCTTATAAAATACTAATAAACAGTTTCCTCCCCTCCCCCCTACTAAAAATGCATAATCTTATGCGGAAGTGCTCAGCTGTTCTCTCAGGCTAAGATTATACAAAATCCAAGCTGGTAATTGCTACTAAGACTTTTTAAAAGTTGTATTATCTTACTGCTGACGAATATGAACTGTAAAATCCAGAGGAAAACAAATCCCAGGAGTTTTTTTTTTCTTTTTAAATCAGAAAAGCATATTGATTTGGTACATTAAGACTGAATAGTTCAATTTTATTAAGCTCATTCTTAGTTCTAAAGGCATTGCGAAATTGAGCACATTGCTCATACCTGACAAAATAAACCTGGATGTTGTAGACAAATCTGTTAAAGATTGAGGCGCACTACAATAACATTGGAAATTTAGGAATCTTATTCCCACCATCTGGAATGCTCTCTTGATTTCCCCTCAACACCCATCCTGCATCACACACGTTTGGTTTTATACATGAACAGAATTGACCCTGCAAACTTAATTGGCTTCTTGCCTCGATAAAGCAATGGTGAGCCGCATGCAGGGGTGGGCTTCTATGGAAGAATCCCATTTGTGATCAGGAATTGTATATAGTTACCAGTAAGGGCTAATTCTGGGAATGTCAGACTTGTGTATTTTTGGTGTTGGGGAGTTATCCAATATTTATGAACACTGTATTAAAAATCCGCAGTTCTGCAGTCCTGTTCAGATCTTTGGAGATATTTATGTAACTATTTCACAATTAACCCCCTGAACTATTACTGAAAATTTCCCCAAGTTTGTAAAGCAGCAATTTCAAAGGGAACATATGCAAAAATAACACTTGCAGAATGGAAAACAGTTTCTTCTTAAGCACCTTTTGCTCTGGGCCCTATGCCTCCCCTCTGCTTTTTAAAACAATGCAGGGATTTGTTAGGAGAGCAAGTGAGCCTGATTTAGGTGAGCATATTTTCAGTAGGCTTGTGTATGAATCTTCTGCCATGCACACACTCGAGCATATTTTATGTATTTATTTATTAAAACTTGTATATCCTGCCTTTCCTCATGGTTCAAGGCAGCTTACAATACTAGTTAAAAAAAAATCCGTTTAAAACCAAAAATAAAATAATACATCTCAAATCTCTCCCTCCTTCTCTTTTTAAAAGATGCCTACCAATTCAGACTCCCTCAAAAGCCTTGGCAAACGGGCATATAATGAGGCGTATCAAAGGGGTTTTTTTTTTGTTCATTGGGAGATAAGAATTATTTTGCAATTGGAGAATCCTGCTTTATTAAAACAATTAAGTAAATGATCTCATAAGGCCCAGTTTAAATACCTCAGGTGGATGACATAGCTAGTACCTCTCCTGAGCTGGGCCCTCGACCATTGCATGTGCAGTGCTGGCGTACCATACCTTGAAAACTGGATTCATTGCTTTGGCCTGGTATAAGTTTTGAAAGTTAGTGATGGAACCCTGTGCTTTGTATTTCCATGTAGGAGTTTCAAGGGGTGTGGGCTTCATACGATTCGACAAGCGAATTGAGGCAGAAGAAGCCATTAAAGGCTTGAATGGGCAGAAACCTCCAGGTGCCACAGAGCCAATCACTGTAAAGTTTGCCAACAATCCAAGCCAAAAAACCAATCAGGCCATCCTTTCCCAGCTGTACCAGTCTCCAAACAGAAGGTATCCGGGACCTCTAGCTCAGCAGGCTCAACGTTTTAGGTAGGTGGTGATATATTGAAGTTTCTGGGATTTCCTTGAGGCTGCATGTGCTTTTCCTGATGAGAGTTGTATTCCCTGGTATGATGGTTGGTTTTCTAAACGTTTCAGCATCTAAAAGGCATAACAGTCACTGCTTATTTAAAAGCACTGCCATCTGTTGGCAGCTATAAACAGACAAAAGGTTTTAAGCAGCTAGGAACACCTAAACAATAAGAGAAACTTTCCCCCCAGTTTGCAGCATGTTTGAAATTATTTTTAATGTTCTAAAATTAGTGTCTCAGTTTACTTGCTTGGACTTCTTAACCATAAGATATCCCGGTCAAAAAAATTGTTTACCAGTTTCAGGCTATTCTGGGTCATACTTCTCACTCTATAATTATTATTTTTTTGCAACATGAATATGTGGTGAGGGGAAGCAGTCTGAAATGTTTGTGGTCTGTGTTCCTGTGACACAGTGCATGTAGCCCTATATGTTTCTCTTGATATTTTCTTGTGCTGAAAAGGACAGATGGTGTGAATGGAAACAAATACTGCATTAATCTGCATTCATGAGCTGATTGGTGCTTTTTGAATTGGTTTAGTTCCTTTTATGAGATGCTATTTATGTGTGTATTTTGTATCAGACTCTAGTATCTATCAGATTGGTTTGCATCAGATTCGAGTATGTCCAGCTTCAGAATTCTTTTTTTAATGTGGAGCTGAAAGGCCTTGAAAGTCTGGGTGCCCGCATTTAAATTGTAATTAATTTGCTAACTGATAGCAAAACTTAGTAAATCCAAGCAACTTCAGATGGCGTTTTATAAAAGCATTCATTTTAGCTTCCTACGTGAGCGTTCAGTTTATTCAGCGTTCAGTGGAATTCCTGCTCTTTTTCTTGAGCATATTTTTAAAACCTTTTCTTTTTTATCAGACCACTGAATACTGAATAAAAGTAGACATTGGATTCTGGGCTTCCGGTCTGGCTCCCGCGAATGGCGGACGCATCCTCGGGTCGCTCCCGAGGGCGTCTCGCCCGCCCGCGGTGGAGGAGGGAATCCGCACGAGCGGAGACCCGAACGAGC